CTTGGCCAGCGAGAGGGCTCGCCCCCTCCGCGCCGCCTCCTCCAGTGAGAGGGACCGCCTCGGGGCAGGCATGGGCCCGTCCCTCGCCGGCTCTCCACGTTCTGCTCCCCTCTCCACCTCGTCCTCGCCCTCGTTCTCCTCCTCGTCCTCGTCCTCCTCCTCCTCCTCCTCCTCCTCCTCCTCCTCATCATCATCATCATCATCATCGTCATCATCATCAGCATCAGCATTATCATCATCATCATCATCATCATCATCATCATCATCATCATCATCATCATCATCATCATCATCATCATCATCATCATCATCATCATCATCATCATCATCATCATCATCATCATCATCATCATCATCATCATCATCATCATCATCATCATCATCATCATCATCTCCTCCTCCTGCCCCCTCCTTCTCCTCCTCCTCCTCCTCCTCCTCCACCTGGCCCCTCCTCCACGTCCCCTCTCCTCCACGTTCCTCCTCGTCCGCGTCATCGCACTCTTCGTCTGGCCCGCTGACCCTCGGATGGCGAGAACGTCGCCCTGACGTCGCCATCCCCCCCCCCCGGGGCTGGTCGGCCCTCGGGAAACTCATCAAGCTGAGAGCCCGGCGAGAAGTAAACCAGCTGGTGAGGACAGGCAGCAGGCAAGAGGAAGACGCAAGAGGGAGGACCTGCATCTTCGTTCTCCATCTCCTCCTCACCCCCCCCCATCCTCCCTCCTCCTCCTCCTCCTCCTCCTCCTGCCTCCTCCCCTCCTCCTCCTCCTCCTCCTCCCCTCCTCCTCCTCGTCCTCCTCCTCGTCCTCCTCCTCCTCCTCCTCCTCGCTCCTCCTCCTCCTCCTCCTCCTCCTCCACCTGCCCCCTCCTGCACGTCTTCTCTCCTCCACGTTCCTCCTCGTCCGTGTCATCGCGCTCTTCGTCTGGCCCGCTGACCCTCTGATGGCGAGAAAATCGCCCTGACGTCGCCATCCCCCCCCCGGGGCTGGTCGGCCCTTGGGAAACTCATCAAGCTGAGAGCCCGGCGAGAAACCAGCCGGTGAGGACAGGCAGCAGGCAAGAGGAAGAGGCAAGAGGGAGAACCATGTCCTCCTGCTCCTCCGTGTTCTCCCCCCCGAATCTGCATCTTCGCCCTCCATCTCCCCCTCACCCCCCCAAAATCCTCCTCCTCGTCCTCCTCCTCCTCCTCGTCCTCGTCCTCCTCCTCGTCCTCGCTCCCCTCGTCCTCCTCCCCACCTCTTTCCTTCTCCTCCTCCTCCTCCTCCTCCTCCTCCTCCTCCTCCTCCTCCTCCTCCTCGCTCTCCTCCTCCTCCTCCTCCTCCTCCTGCTCCTCCTCATCCTCATCCTCCTCCTCCTGGCCCGTCCTCCTCCTCCTCCTCCTCCTCCTCCTCCTCCTCCTTTACCTGGCCCCTCCTCCACGTCCCCTCTCCTCCACGTTCCTCCTCGTCCGCGTCATCGCACTATCCGTCTGGCCCGCTGACCCTCTGATGGCGAGAAAATCGCCCTGACGTCGCCATCCCCCCCCTGGGGCTGGTCGGCCCTTGGGAAACTCATCAAGCTGAGAGCCCGGCGAGAAACCAGCCGGTGAGGACAGGCAGCAGGCAAGAGGAAGAGGCAAGAGGGAGAACCATGTCCTCCTGCTCCTCCGTGTTCTCCCCCCCGAATCTGCATCTTCGCCCTCCATCTCCCCCTCACCCCCCCAAAATCCTCCTCCTCGTCCTCCTCCTCCTCCTCGTCCTCCCGTCCTCCTCCTCCTTCTCGCTCCTCTCCTCCTCCACCTCCTCCCTCCCCTCCTCCTCCTCCTTGCACCGTCATAGTCTCCCCCCGATTCTGCATCCGCCCTCCACACTCCCCCTCTCACCCCCACCCCCAAATCCTTCTCCTCCTCCTCCTCGTCCCTCGTCCTCCTCCTCCTCCTCCTCATCCTCCCCTCCTCGCTCCTCGCTCCTCCTCCTGCCCCGGTCCTCTTCTTCCTCCTCCTCCTCCTCCCTGCCCCCTTGGAGCCGATATGCTGTAAGCGCTTTCGCTGCCTACTTCTCTCCACCTCCCTGCCCCGTCCTCCTCATCCCCGCCTCCTCCTCCTCCTCCTCCTCCTCCTCCTGGTCCTCCACCTGGCCCCTCCTCCACTCCCCCTCTCCTCCACGTTCCTACCTCGTCCGCGCATCGCACTATCCGTCTGCCCGCTGACCTCTGATGGCGAGAAAGTGCCCTGGACGTCCGCCCCCCCTCCTCCCCCCAGGGCCGTCGCCCCGTGAAACTCATCAAGCTGAGAGCCCGGCTATAGAAAGTAAAACAAGCTGGTGAGGACAGGCAGCAGGCAAGAGGAAGATGCAAGAGAGATAACCATGTCCTCCGCTCCCTTCATATTCTCCCCCCCGAATCTGGCAGCTTCGCTCCTCCACTCCCCCTCAACCACCCCCAAATCCTCCTCCTGCCTCCCCTCCACCTCCTCCTTCGTGCTCCTCCTCGACCTCCTCCTCCTCCTGCCCCGTCCTCCTCCTCC